GGCGGAACCTAAAACCTAATAGGTTGGGTTTTGGGTCAGAGACTCTGACCTAAAATGGGTTCTGCCGAAGTCTACTAGAGAGGATATTATTTTATATAGTTAGTTTATAACCTAATTTTCGCTAACTAAATTAATTAGGGTAGTTCTATACTTTTAAACAAGAAGATCTACTATTTCTTATACTATAGAAGGCTAAGGGGCTAATCTATAAGAATTTATAGAGAGGATCTATTTTTAAAGAGATTCCTCTTTGATTTCTATTAATTTCCATAAGTTAGCGCGTATAGTACCTTATTAAGTATGGCCGGAGAGGCAGTCATGTAAAGTTATACGTAGTATATTAAAACGGCGCGCCACTCTACGAATTAGTGGTATGGTGGGTGGTTAATTAACTAAGATCTAATTCATGGAAGCGTTTTGGATGGGGTAGGCGGCTCGCTTGTGTGGGCGGCTCGCTTGTGAAATACGTTATGGCGTGGTCAATAAATATATATAACTCCGTCTAACTGAAAGGACCAAATTCCACTATTTCATAATCTATATGAATATTAATAACTAAGCTTAACATAACCGTGGACACTTTTATATATTAGCTACTGCCGCAGCGGTTTTTATATCTTTCGAGGGTTTTAATACTCGGTTCTCATTCATGTATTGTAATATAACGTTTGACATTATGTATATTCATTGATCATACCATGCCACCTAGATTTCTGTCTTATATTATGTTCCCCCCTTGGTCATAGTATCTTACCTGGTACGGAGTACTAGTATGCCTTTATATCTTTTCCTAACTCAATTGATAAACGAAGAAACCTAACAGATAGACTGACTAATTACAATATTCCCTTTTATGTCTCCTCACAGTCATATTCTTTGTGGGTAAAATACCTGTATTCATGTATTGCAAATGAGGTAGGCAAAAGAGATAAAAAGATTTTAATCAAGGCGGTACCAAAGATCCAGAGTGGGCTGGTGGCTGTGCATCAACTCTAACAATTACACTTATTTTGATCTGCAGGATCTGGGATTAGTTTACTATAGTCCGCATCGTTCAACAATAAGTCTTCTAGGAAATTGTAGGTTTATAGGGGATGTTTACTATTATGGCATGATTGTAGGTAGGGGTGTCACCCAATGTTCTTGTAGTACACCGATTCTTTTTATACGTCTCTACATTTCTTCAATACAATGTATTGTACTGCCTCATGATCTCATAATCTACACAAACAAGAGGCCTCGCCAAGAGGGCATGGGTGCATTGTTCCTGGCCCTACAGAAGAGCTGCCTACGCGTGGCTGATAATGCAAATTACAAGAGCGGCTCTGCCGATTAGTGTATGATGACATCATTCCTATACGGATACCTGGGTAAGGCAAAATTACAGGCGCCTAGCGCAGGCAGCCATTCAAAACTATGACTCAAGGTGCCAACCTTTCCAAGGTTGGAAGGAATACAGATGAGTCAGACCCAAATTCCCCTCATCACTTGGACAATATTATTTATTTGATTATAATATCTATCATGATTAAGAAATCCTCCTTTTGAAAAATAAAATGAAATTAAAGAACAAAAACTAAACAGGAAGGCAAAAAGCAAAACCAAAAGCAAAAAGCAAGAGAGAGAGTCAAGAAAACAAATCAAAGATAAGGATCTACACCAATAGATCACATGGGACAGGGGGTCAATGCTATAAAATGATTGGCTTACCTCTCCTGCGGCTGATCCTATTAGGTGATTGCCCGCATGGGATGTTGTCACATGTGGCAGTCGGACTTAGGCAGGAAAAGGGAAGAAGGAAAAGTGCCTTTTAACTCCGAAACCAAGAACTTTACATTTGGTACTAGTAGAGATTGGGCATATCTACTAAATATTTAGGTACATATACATATTCATACATACATATCGTATGGACCTGAAGTACCAGATACATAAATGTACGAAAAGAAATAGCTGTGTATGTAACGTCATTACTTCAGATAACAGGGTAATGGGAAGGATACCATATAGTACTATGTACCTAATCAGTAAGTACCGTAAGTACCAAATACTGTAAGTACCAAATGATGAATGATAGATCAGCTGGTTCTTTCCGAATGACGCCCAAACACCCCATTTCCCCCCTTTGCGCTCTGATGCTCTTCTCAAACTAACCCTTTTACAGTCAAGTCCATTGGTCTCATGAGCCCTGGAGAAACTCGGAATCTCAATTAAGCGCCACCCCGCAGTTTATCATCACACCCTCAGCCCCATCCCAACTGACTCACAGTTTCCTTTCAAGATTCCCTTTCCTACCCCTCCTCTTCTCTTCTTCTCTTCTGCTTTTCACACTTTATCCTTTTCATTTTCATTTTCATTTGGTCCATTGTCTATCGATGGACCATTACCCTCTTCATCAAATTGACTCATTCGGCCATTGGAGCCTTAACCCCGAAACTTAGGTCATATTGGCTTATCGCCACCCAAGAGAGACAAAGAGGCAGACCTGACAAATCACCTGTTTTTACTTGGTGATTCAACTTCCATTGAGTTCCATAAACACTCGCTCATCAGCTTTCGCCATCCATCTTCCCACCCTTCCTGGTGTATTCATCCCCTCCCCCTTCTCTTTCCGGAAACCCTAGGTCTGGACACCATTGACTACTTTAACCTCGTATTGCCAATTACCGTTGGCTCAACGGTATTTAATCTGGAATGACTTCATCTTCTGGCTGGCAGCCAGCGAAACAGACGACCACTATGCATCGCCTCCCATCCGTTTCTAGCCTCATGTCACCCCCAGAGACGAAGCCTCTCGAGAGCTTTCCTGTCTCACTTTCACCGTTTGCAAAGCCTCAAGATTCTTCAACTCGTGACATACAACTTCCACCTATCTCAGCTGATCGAAAACGGACGCAGTCAGAGATGGACCTCCCGTCGCCACCTGTGACTCCCTACACGGGGAACAAGAAGAGCAATTCCCATGCCTCGGACCAAATTGAAAGAGATTTGGGATCCCCCAGGGATCCTGTCCTTTTCCCCCCCCAGGATTCCGTTACTGACGTTGCCACGGATGAGCCGTTGTTCGGCCCCGTTCACCCTCCATCTGCAGAGGAACTTGTGGAAGAACACATGAATTCTCACATGGCAATCTTTCGCAATAAGTTGAACAAACCCACACGGGATGAATATCTCCTAGCGCTCTCCTGTGTTCCCATTGTTTCGACCCAGTACAATCGCAATCCGGGTGCTTGGGCCCGAGAGGAACGGGAGACGCTGGAGCGCCAAATGGCCATGATGAACCGCTATCGCTCAGGAGATTATGAACCCAAGTTGAAGAAGATTGCTCCAGCTCCAGTTAAGAGATCGGGAACTCAACCGCGCGTGCAACGAACCCGGGTCAAACGCACCCCTAAATCTACACCCAAGCAGCAGGTGTTTGACAACTTTGATCCCCCCCAGACGCCGCTTACCAAACCGCGTGCTTTGGGTACGAATCGCGATGACACCGATTATCACTCACTCAAGGATTTTTCGCCCCCGGTAGACACGCTAGGCAGTAATGCTAAAGCATTGAAGGCCGATTGGAAGGGGCAGATGTTGGATTTGAGCAATGACCCGGACAGAAACATTCTCAGTCCCGCCGAGCTCAATCTCGCCTCCACCCTGAGACTTTCATGTGCGACCTATCTATGCAGCAAGCGTCGAATCTTTGAAGCTCGAGTTCGAGCTCTTGGCGTTGGCAAAGAGTTTCGCAAAACAGATGCCCAGCAGGCTTGCAAGATCGATGTCAATAAAGCCAGCAAACTTTGGACCGCTTACGAACGTGTGGGTTGGTTTGAAGCTGAATATTTTCACCAATACCTAGCATGATATTGCACCTACATATTCTGATGGTACCCTGGATAATGATGCCGCCAGTTCATCCCAGCCCGTGTGTCGCCTCCCATCACGAGCTGAGCCATCGAAGACACTGTTCCCAATAACTGACCCCTCCACCTCAGTGTCTTATCACTGTGCAATACAGCCCTCGTCTATTAATCCAGCTCTCTGCACTTGACCAATACAACATGTATGGGCGTTCCCTGGATCAACCCATCTTACCTCTTGGTCTTTCGGTTTCCTTTTCAATTGCTATTTCGCTTTTACGACTCACCATGACAAGTTTTTTTTTTCCCTCCCTGAGATTCCCCCCTTTTTTGCTTTGCTTTTCTTTTTGCATACAGACACCCCATGAGCTTTGATTTTTCCAACTTTGGTTGATGGCTATGGCGTTTGGGTGCTTCAATTCCGTTTCACTTTGGTCTAGAATGGCAGGCTTGGTTAGCCACAGGTGTTTTCTTTTCTCTATTGCGATTGAATTTTACTGCTTGATGGTTCTCCCATTTTATTCTACCTTTTTCAGAAAGGCAATAGCACATAGGATAAGGCTTGATACCCTGACCAGATATGGTTTTCCTACATCCCAATGAATTGATATGAATTTGAGTCAAGTTTTTTGTTACACATGCTATAAAATATATACTATATTATTTATAGTATAAGTAAACTATATGTTAAAACCTGATGCCTAGATTTAATACATATATGTATGTACTAGTCATAGTTTCTAATTAAAACCAAAATAAAGCGGTGGGGCGCAATCGCAATCCTCCGGCAGCCCGGCGCCACCTTTTTTTGACGTATCCCTTGTATCATCTTTCTGCTTCACTCCAATCTGGTCCATCCAATTTCCTCTTTTGAAATCATCTTGGTCAAAAAGCCATGTCTCAGGAGGTGACTCGTGCTGAGTCCATTGAGGAACAGGAGCGTGCAAGGGATGATGGCGACAAGAAGCCAAAGTCTCGTCGACCAGCCAGTAGGTCCTGGGATCTCATCAACCCTTGGTCACAACTGACTTGTTCGTACCAGATACTGCTTTCCGCCAGCAAAGATTGAAAGCATGGCAGTGCGTTTGGGATTCCTGTATCTCCACCCCCCCCCTGAACCACCATGCTAACCTTCCACTAGACCGATCTTGACCCCTAAAAGCGTTCTACCTCTGTTTTTCATCGTCGGCGTCATTTTTGCCCCGCTCGGTGGTGTTCTCCTCTGGGCAAGCTCTCTAGTATGTCTTGTTTCATGAATTCCTTGACAGAACAGCCCTGACGAGCCGTTTGCTCTAGGTCCAAGAAATTTCCATCGATTACTCCGATTGTTCCAGACAGGCACCGACCGACAGCTATGCTTCCGTTCCTCATTATTCGGCGACCTTCAAGTCTTCTAAAGCCATATCGGCACCAACCTGGCGCAAGTCCATCAACGAGTCCAACTCGGGTACCGTTACTTGCACTCTTCTTTTCGAGGTTCCGAACGAGCTCCCAGCACCGGTTTTCATGTATTATCGCCTCACCAACTTCTACCAAAACCACCGCCGATATGTTCAGTCCCTCGATTTGAATCAGCTCAAAGGAGACGCGGTCCCCTACAGTACCATTAAGGGTGGCACATGTGATCCCTTAGCGGTTAATACCACAGCCCAGAAGGTATACTATCCGTGCGGACTGATTGCAAACTCATTCTTCAACGACACGATTGGGAAACCCCAAATTTTAGATCCGAATGCATCCGAGAATGACAAACAATACTACGAAATGACCACTAAAGGAATTGCATGGGAAAGTGACAAGGAACTCATCAAAAACACAAAGTACAAGATGGATGAAGTACTGCCACCTCCGAACTGGGTCTGGGCCAGTGAGAACGGTGCCTATAAGGAGGACCCCAATTTACATGAAAATGAAGCTTTCATGGTTTGGATGAGAACGGCTGGTTTGCCATCATTCAGCAAGCTCTCCCGCCGTAACGATACCCATGGCATGCCTGCTGCAAAATATTCCATTGAGATTGTTGACCGTATGTGTTATACTATTGCCCTCTCGGTCCACATTTCACTAAATTATTTAGGTTTCAATGTTACTGAATACGATGGAACCAAGTCCATATTGATCTCTACTCGAACAGTGCTTGGAGGCAAAAATCCCTTCATGGGAATCGCCTATGTGGTTGTTGGTGGAATCTGCGTTGTTCTCGGAACTTTGTTTACTGTCGCGCACTTGGTGCGTCCGAGGTATGATTCTTTCTTCTCTTCTCTCCTGGAATAGAAAGCCCGAACTAACCTACTTTACTAGAAAACTTGGCGACCACACCTATCTTACTTGGGATTCAAATCAACCGAGCACTGCCATCGCCACGGGACGGGATAATGCCCCTTAAGACCTCTTCTTTCTTGTTTTTTTCCCCCCTCTTTTTCTTTTTGGCGTTTTCCTTCTGTTTCAATGTGCCCATGTAAATAATTTCTGTGTTCAATGACCTCATCCTTGAATTTTTGACATTCCAATCATTTTATTTTCTCCGATCCTTTACATGCTCGTACCCCTTGCCCAAGACATGCATTCCCGCATGACGCAGCATTCTTTATGGAATCGGACAGGTTATATGATAATATACTGGTCAACCTCGAGATGATGCTTCTTTTCTTGATTCTCCGTCCACTCCTTTTGTTTCACTCTCTTTTAGAACAGGCGTGAAGGGGGAATCAAAACCAGGGCTTCTTGACACCATGGTCTGTCACTCATTTTTCCAACTTGTCGTTCTTGTCACTCTTTTTCTGCAGGTTCGGTGCAGCCCCTTTGCCCTCCCGAAAAGAGGCGCCTGTGCTACTGAAGACCCCGGTGCGGATTTCTTGCATGAACTAGGGCGTCTCAAGTCATACGAAGCCGATCCTGCTCTTTCGCAGGCCAGGAAGGCTCCCATCGAGATCGAGACCTGGTTCCATATCATCAGCAGCAAGTCGGAGTCCACCCAGGTCACCGATGATATGATCAATTCTCAAGTCAGTTGCTTTTTTTTCGCCTGGCATCTCAGTGCTAATTTATTTTTGCCTACAGCTTTCTATTTTACAACAATCTTATGTGGGTTCTGGCATATCCTACCGATTACAAGGTGTGACTCGGCATGTCAATGATCAATGGGCAAGTAATGCGGATGATACGGCAATGAAAACGAGCCTTCGAAAAGGAAGCTATCGAACATTGAACGTTTACTTCCAAACCGATCTCCAGGCCTCGCCTGGACAAGCAGGACGGGATTCAGTCACCAACAATGACCTGGCATCGAGCGTTCTTGGATTCTGCACCTTGCCTGATCCGAGTGTCAATGCTAGTAGTCCAGCTTCTCACTATGTCAAGGATGGCTGCAATGTTTTGGCTAAAACTATGCCCGGTGGCTCCTTGGATCTTTACAATCGAGGTGGAACTGCTATTCACGAGATTGGTCACTGGAATGGCCTTTTACACACATTCCAGGGGGAAACTTGCTCAGTAGATGATCCTGGCGACCACATAAGTGACACACCACAGCAGTCCACCCCGACAGATGGGTGCCCTGCCCAGAAGGATTCGTGTCCAGACTCCCCTGGACTGGATGCGGTTCATGACTTCATGGATTATTCATCTGATGTATGCTATGAGCGCTTCACCCCCGGACAAGGAGAGCGCATGCGGAATATGTGGATATCCATGCGTGAAGGGAAATAGCATGACAGTGACTGGCAACAAGTCCAATACAATTCGCAGCCATATGTCCACACAGGAGATGCAAGTTTAGAATCAAGCTAGCCAGCTACCTTAGTCAGTTGCTGTGATTTAGAGAAATGCCACCACCTGTCCACAGATCCTTTGAAAGAATATCATGCGTGAATATTTGGATACAGTACAGTTAAGAGACGTTGATAGACTAGTTTCCTCCCGATTAACACCGTGAATGTGTCGTGTCCTGTCCTGATTTCCCATCCGCCGTGGGCTCGAGTTAAATCGTACAAGCATTGGAAAGACCAATCACAAAATAAGCGAGGCGTACGCAGCCCAACTTGACTTGCCCATGGATTGGAACATAAAGTGCAAGAAAGGAAGCAAGAAGAAGTAGTTTGATGCTCCAGGGGCAACGAAATGGTCGATTAGCGCTTGCGCTTGATCCCGCGGTCATTGTCATCATGGTCGGTCTCCTTGTCTTTACGTTTCGCCTTTTCCTCAAGCGCATCCCAGTCCTCACCACTCTCCTCGTCGCCGCTGAAGTCTTCCTCGCTGGCATCGGCACTCGCATCATCATCAAATTCACTGTCTTCCTCGGAACTCTCGTCTCCAGCTGCAAGCTCCGAATCGGACAACTCGAAAGCCGACTCCTCTTCCTCATCTGAACCATTCTCAGAGTCTGACTCGGCTGATAAGAAAGACCACCCGCCATCGGCAAAGAAGCCATACGGATCGCTGACGACTGTTTTCATGATTGTGGTCCAATTTAAGTTGAGAGGACCCTCAGTGAACGCAATATCAACAGAATCCAGCCAGTCCTTAACACCCTCAAGTGCCTCAACAGGAATTGTGTTGATATGAACGGGAGTCCGGCGGAAATCCTTAAAAACAAAGACCATGTCGAAGTTTTTGAGTCCGAACTGCGCACGAATTAGTAAACCAGGCTGACAAAATAGTCGTAGGCGGAAAACATTACCTGGACTCTCTCTAGATGGGCAATCTCGATTTCATTCAACGTGACAGTTGTGAAAGGAGGTTCAGTGAGCTGAACTAGGGCATCTGTGGTCGGTTGAATCAGGACATTGGACCGGTTTGGAACGCCGGTAAAGCCAATTTCCCTGAATGGGATATCAACATCGACACCCTCATCCTTGCCAGCGTCTGCAATCTTCTCCGCAAAGGCCTTGAACTCGCGGTCCAATGCAGCTCTCCGCCGTCTTTCCTCCTGTTCAGCTTCAAATTCTTCCTCGTCTCCATAGCGGTGTTTCCGCCGACGGTTTCCAGTTTCATCGAATTGCATTT